TAGGGTCCATTGTGACTTCATAGTACTGAATTGGAGCAATCTGTTTTCTTTGAAAACATGATAGTACTCAATCTTTTAGTTTATTGTTTAGTTTTAGCAATGTGAGTAAAGCATAAATATTCTTCCTGCAAAATTTAACTTTTCAGATAAGAAAGTCTCTGTTCACCAACTTTTCAAATTATACACACCTCTTCTGTCTTTTCAGTTACCCATACAGAGTTTTTGATACGTATTTATATATAGATACATTAATCAAGAAGATATAGAGCTATTTTTTGACTGACTGAAATAAATGTCATCATTTTATACATAGCACTTTAAAACTTTCATTTATTAGTTAAAAAAAAAGTCTATTTTAGAGATCAGCAGATAGTATAATGGTTGTATCACTGGACTCCCATGTAGTCGACTGCAGTTCAAGTCCTGGACCTGGTGTCTTAAGCTCACACTGGGCACATGTGTGTGTATGCCCAAGATCCTGAGAGGAGAGTGGAGAAGGGATTGTGGCGTGGCCATCCCCTCTGGGAATGATTTCTTGCTTTCTGTCTCTCTGTCTCTCTCTATGTCTCCAGTGAGTGCATGCATCCTATAGCAAAAATATCTCTAAAAAAAAGTCCATTTTAATACATATGAACCTGACTCACTTTTAAAAAATTTGCCAGATGGTGCATGAGGGGGAGAGAGAGAGAGTGAGAGATAGAGAGAGAGAGAGTCTCCCTCCTTTTGGGATAAAGAGTGAGAAAATGAGAAAGAACTCACTATGGGGTATAGCCATACCCCAATCCCTTCTCCTCCATTTCTCCCTCCTTTTGGGATTTTGGGCACACATGCATATTGTCCCAGAATGTTTTCAAGCCACTGAGTCTGAAACTTGAACTGCATAGTCATCAATGTTTCTAGTTGCCTTAATTACCATGCCGGGCTGGCTCCAACTTGACTCATGTTTAACACTGCTGTGTGTGTGTGTGTGTGTGTGTGTGTGTGTGTGTGTGTGTGTTTATTCCGTACTAGACACATCACAGTTTACCTTTGCTTCTCTCTCTACCAATGGACATTTAGTTTCCAATGTTCTACTTATAAATAATGCTAAATGCTCTTTCCTAGCTTATTACTTAGGATTAGATCATCTTCTTAGAATTATGGGGACCCATAAAATGTAATAACTACTTTTTTGAAATGACTAACAGTTACCTCTCAAAGCTACCCAAGCCATTTCCTTTGGGTGAATCTTCAAGATTAAAAGATACTTGCTGTGATTTAGTCAATTATATCTAGCTGGACGTCTTGAAACCTTGTCCTTAAATTTTGGAATGAGTCTCCTTTACTTCTCTGCTAGGCCATCTTCTGAAAAACCTTTGTTCTAGTGGGGCTACTGGGTCAGGGCAGGACAGAATGCAAATGCTCTTTAGTAGACATGGCCCCTGACTCTCCCTCCTCGTATTTGTCAGAGTTTATTCTAGTGATATAATGGGGGAAGACTTCATTTGGGATGACAAAGTGATAGGTCTTCTCTGTAGATCTGTTATTATAACCAGTTACTTGTGATCCCATAACCTGGGACATCCCCTGAAGAGTAGTAAGAGGTAGTTGAGTTTCATTCAGAGTCGAATGATTCCCCCATAAGTATTTAACAGGCCAGGATAGAGTCACAGCTATGATAAGCATTTTGTTGATAGGATATTTCTGTGTGAGCTAAGGCTGTCCTGACACCTGGTATAAGAAAACAAAAAGTCTTTGTCTGCTTAAGGCTTTAATAAAAAGTGGGCACAGAATGTCTGGGGGGTGTCTGCTGTTGGTATCAGAATCATGCAAATCTGAAAGCGGGTACAGCATTTCAGTGTTTAATCATGTTGGTCTTGCAAAGTGAAACCCTTGTATCACTGGGTTAGCTGCCCTTGATAAAACACAGATGCATTTGTTTTGGAACACAGGACAAGTATTAAAAGTTTCTTAAATATATCACTACCAATTCTACACAGTTTCATGGCAAAATGTTTACCGTCTGGAAGAGCACACTGTTTTGTTTAACTCTCAAAACACTGCTGACCCAGGCAGAGGGAGCGGTGTCACATATTAGCAAGGGTAGGTGGTTTATCATGTCCCGACCAAAACATTCTCAATTTGCCTTCCCGTCCACCTGCTCCTCACTGAATTACGCTGCTGTCAGAACGAAACATGCATTTGTGCATAAATGGAAGGGAGCCTTGGGTATTTCAAGGTGTGCTGTGAAATTCTGTACTACTCATCTTTTGCTGTTTGGCTATCCATAGGGCTGTAGATTACTCAGAACTCACATAGAAGCACCCAGGTACTGTGAGTCAACCACTGTGCTTGCTCTTTGCCTCCTTCTTGTTCTGTGAAGAAGGCCTCAGATGCATTTGGCTCGGTGAGGCTCAGAAGCACTTGTATTTGCTACATCTGTGTATAAAAAGGCCGTTCTGTGTGTCTGTCCCCTATTAGAGTTGAGTTCCTTGCCTGCTCTGTTTTCAGATATTTAGCCTTCTTTTGATGTGTTTTCTAACTCTGTGTTCCCCAAACATGCTTGAGCATCAAAATCACCTGATGTACTGTGAGTTCTAGAATCAGATGAGTTTAGGAGATAATTGGCAGGATCTATTGAACCTGTAAAACACGATCTCTTGGAGTTTAACTGTTGAATCCCGTTAAGAACTAAGGTCATACTATGTGCCTGCAAGCACATGGCATCCCGTGTTGCTCTTGGCAGTAAATGAGTTAAAACTGCAAAGGGTTTAGGAGGCACGCCTTCCCTACCAAGGAGCCTTTCCAACAGCAGGAGAGGCTCAGTAAGTTTCGTGAATTCTAATTCTATCTATTCATTATCTCAACAATGATTTGCGTGCCTACTATGTGCCAGGCATTTGTGCTAGGTGCTGGGGACACACAACTGTGAACGAGGCAACTAACGTGTATGACGTGCTTGCCACACGATGGATACCAAGCTAACTGCTTCACATACTTTTCTCGTTTAAACTTCACAACTGCCCTGGGAGGTAGGTATCATCACCTAAATGTCAACATTAAGAAACTGTCATTTCAAACGTTTGACGGACTTGGCTTACGTCACAGATTTAGTAACAGGGAGACTCAGAATTTGTACCAAGTCGAACAGATTCATCTTCCTTCTCCTACTGCTCTTCAGTTTTACTACTGTCTATAGTCACCTCGCTTGGTTCTTTCTACTTCAAACAGAGGTCCCCAGCCTGACCTATGTGACAGAACGGCTTGGGATGCTTTTAAAAAATGTCCTTGCCTGGGCGTCACCCCACACAGATTAAATAAGAATACTTGATGGGGTCCAGGTATGGGGATTTTTAAAACAGCTCTGTGGGTGATGCTAATGTGCAGTGAAGGTTGAGAACCACTTTAGAGCATCATTAATTGACACCAAAGAGATTCCGCTTCTGCCAGCCTAATAGTTTCCAGAATTCTTCTTGGATCATTTAGCTGATTAAATTTTTATAGATTCTAAATCATTTTTCTTCCCTTTCAAACAATTGAACTTTATCAAAATAGAACAAAGAGTTTCATAATGCAAAAATTTTTGCCAAAGAGGGACACAGTAAAAGCTCCATTTAACCAGGAATGCAGGATCTATTTGAAAGGATCTATTTCAAAGGAAGTATATTCATAGTAAATGATGAGGAATCACCTGGGGTTTAGAATAGCCATAAGCTCCTGAGTCTCTATCCTCTTGTGAGAGTCCAAGATCCTTAAGACACTTTTTATTTTCATTTAGTGTGGGAAGAAAACTGAGAAAAATGTGGTAGTTTTTTTTTTTTTCTTTAGGTTTCCATCATTCTTGGTGAACATAGGACACAGCTCAACTTTATTTTTTTCAAATTCAAGTCAAAGTAAAATGAAAGTGAATAGTTCAGAATTTTCTAGCATGAATACATGTATGTACTCTTGACTAAAGTTCAATTTGAATGCTCTCAGAAAAAAAAAATACTTCTAAAAATAGAAGAAATAAATTTCCCTAAGCTTTTGACTACTTTTCACTGCTCAAATACTGCATATGTAATGTTTATATAAACTTCTAAGTTAAGAGTTTTGCATCTTAGGCTTTTAGAGCTTTGTCAGACTTCTACTTTTGTGAGTTTGTAAAGGTGCATTCTAATGAATGGGATCTGCACTGACTAAATCTAGTTTTCCTTTGTCTTCTATCACTGAGTTGTGACTGTCCGCTGAGATTTCTTCTCCAAGTATCTATACAGTTGAAGTAATCACAGAGTTATGGTCCGTAGAATTCATAGAAAGAAAGAAAATGACAGTGAAAGTAAACTTGGAGGGCACTGTTCTTGAACAAGTTCCACGCACTTCTAGGAGGAAAAATAAAATTGACGCTACCAGGGAAGATTTCTTAAACCAGTGGGTATTTACATTGAGAAACAAAGAGTAAAGACAACTCCCAGCCCTGTCATTATAAATAGCTTAAGGTGAATCTTCTTCAGTTTAAAAGTCAGACATCAATGCTGAAAAGATAGTTGGATTGTAACATTTCATAGAGGTCAAGAGTCATTTTATGACAAGGATTATAAATGATTATTACAATAAAAGGTAAACAGAGAAAAGAAAGAAAAAGAAAAACATGAAAAATGGCCTCCTTTTTTACATTTCCACATAGGTGATCTCCATACCAGGAGATGAACTTGGTTGGGCGGGAGACGAACCTGGTTGGGCGGGAGACTGGAGCCCCTCAGAGAATTTGGGATTCTTCCATTTTTACTGGGAGGGTTGGCAGGTATAACATGTGTTGTTATGTGAGTCCATGAGAGCCTCTGGGGTTCTAACTCCCTGCCTCTCCGTGTGGTGGGGAGGCAGCTGCTCACTCTGAAGCACTCGACTGATCTGTCTGTGGCTTACCCATGACCAGTGGCTTGGAAGTGTCAAAGCATGAGAAGCATGCAGTCCAACAGCATGTGCTGCGTCCTCCTCTACCTGGTCCTGCATGGGAAGCTCTTGGGCCATCTGCCTCAGAGAGCAGCTGTCTCTTTCTTTCCCTTTACTCCCTCAAGGCTTCTAATCGGAAGAAGAAGAGAACAAGCTTTAAGAGAAAAGCTAGTAAAAGAGGAACTGAAGTAAGTGTTTCAGGGTTATGTTCCAAGGAAGTATAACTCCCTGCCCATCGCCTACTCTGTTCTACTGAATCTGGCCCAAGGTTATTTTCCTGACATACTTTCAACCACTCCTTTCCCCTTCAATACATTCCAAACACACTGGAATTCTTTCTTCGTCTTAAAATTAAAAACCAAAAACACCAAAACAAAACGACAACAAAAACCTAGAATCCTGCCACTGTAGGGTTAGAGCATGTGCACTTGCCTGAAAATGTTATCCCAAAGATGATGATGAAGATCTAAAGAAGTAAAATATCTGGAGTGCTCAGCATATACAGAGAAAATCAAAAGCAAAGCTTAATTCTTTGGAGCAAATTATAGCCGCAGAGAGTTTCTTCCAGGCTTTATGTGAAAGAGCCTATGAAAGTCAGCCCTATGAAACAAGATGCAGATGTCTTGGGAGTAAGGGGTGGTAGGGATTTCCCTTTCCTTTGCTCTGGGACTACTTTTCCAGCCATGAATGTCAGTCTTAACAGCATTGCTTGCTTCTT